ATGCAGCAGCTCAATCTTTTCAAGAAATTGTGTGACCAGTTTATAAAGGTCTTCCTTCTGAGATGTTGGCACTGTCACTGGGTGAAGTCAAAGAGTTAGGAACAAGAGGACAATTCAGATTAAATGCGAGAGTATGTTGTAAGTGGGTGAGGACTGGCTAAATTGTGCCTGTTTTTGAAATAGACTGAAGAAGTCATTACAAGAAGCCTATTGTTTGTGACAGATCTGGGTCACAAATCTGAAGACTTTGTCTATGATAGTGGAATAGTGCCAGGATCATGAGTTTTCTAATCTGTCTTGTGAGAGACTCACTGAACAACACACTTGAATGTGCTTCCTTAAATTAATAATAAGATGCTTTAGAAATGACTTCTTCTCAGGAATCAGTGGTCCCTCTTCTTACTATTTATTCTGCATGAGTAAGAAAGATTATATAACAAATATATAAATATTACAATAAGGCAGGTATTTTTTTCTGCAAAGCTTTGGAACAGCTAACATGAGTTTATAAATTAAATACGTTTTTGTCCATTGGGTCAGAACATAATCTTTGAGAGTCAAAACCTGCACGACACATAGTGTGGGACAAATTTCCATGTTGTATTGTTAGGGAGAAAAAGGGCCTGTAGTCTAAACTGCTCAAAGGAAAAGGAGTTGTAGAGTTGTAGTTCAATTTGATCTGTTGGGTAGCCATGTTTGATTAGACAGAAGATGTCATATGAGGATCTCTGCAGTAGATGGATCTAAAGCAGACAGATGGCCAGTGTTCTAGAAGAGATAATTGATTCTGATATTAAGGATGTATGACAAAAATGAGTCAAGAAGACATTCAGGACATTTGTAAACACTATTGGTTTCATCTGGTGATTACAATACAGTATATCACTGTAGAAGAGGTATTTTGTTTCAAAGAATTAAAGTGAAGGTTACATAAACAATCAGTTGTCTATGTAGAAGAATTGTTTTAGTTTTTTTCCTTAATCCATGCTTCCAGATTAAGCCATAGTATGTAATAAATACAAAAAATCTGTGTTAGACTACTCATAAGCCCTTTTCTTTGTTGAATAATCCTCTCCACCCCTGCAGCTGGCCTAATGCATTGTTTAGCTTTTTACATTTCTTTCGTTATCAGTCTAAACAGTAAGTGATAGACTGAGCAGAAAATGTTTAAGGAACATCATTATATTCAATTCTTTTGTGCTTTTTCCAATTGCTGCAGCTTTTGCTTACAATGGATTTCACACTGAAAAAGCTGCCCATTCAGCATGTTACAGTCTATTGAAAGTGCAGATAAAAATCTCAATAAGAAGACAATCATAAAGTCAGGCATTCCATTTCTTTGTAATTATTTTTTCTGGCACATGAGGAAATGTTGCATAGATATAAAAAAACATTTTAAAAAGAAAGACAACTTTAAAAGAAAAATCATTTTTAATGAAAACAGGTTTAAATAAAGATAAATCTGGAGACATTGTGCTGCAGGCTATCTGTGAACCTACTGTATAGCAGATCTTTCTACTCTTTCATGTGCCTCTGGAACAATTTAGCAATAAGAGTTACCTGGGAATTCCGGTTCCCCCTTCTAATCCTGCCACAGCTCTGCTTGTGAATGTGAACGTGTGCTGCCTGTCTAGGGCTGCCCTCCCTCACAAAAACGGAATAATGCTTCCAGAGGTCTGACATCACAGATTCCCAAGTGCTGATTGGCAGGGCTTTGGGAAATAGATCATTTCAGCAGTTACGAGGGATGCTACCAGTCAGAGCAGCAGGGCTGTTCAGTGCAGCAGAACCGGTGCACCCTCGCAGGATGCAAAGAAGCAGAAAAAGAGTCCCTCAGAAGGCAAACAAACATCAATCTACATGAGCCCTTCAGAAGGCAGATCAACATCAGTCTGCGTGTAATTCTCTTTCTACTACTGAGGAAAGAGGGGGCACTGCTGCTGCAGCTCTCATTAGTGGTGCGGTGTTTTCAGTGGGAAATCGGGCTGACACGTTTGTTTTGCTTCCTGAAGAGGGGGAAAAAAAGGAGAACCCCCCCCCCCCACCAACAACACTTGTTTTTGTGGATGTCAGTTTTCACTCACACATGAAGGGCAAATCCAATCTGGAAGTGTACAATACTCAAGATGGCACGCTATAAGGATATTCCGGGCAAAAAGGTGACATCTCTGAATCTGGTGACGGGATTTTTTCAGTATTTGCGTGGTAAGTAGGGCAGCATTCAGCAATAGAGCCTGAACCCCTTAGGGAATTCTGCTTGCACTGCAAATTGAGATTCCTGGGTAAACATGTGATTTATGTGTGTGCACCATATATATAGATATAACAGTGTAGAATGGACATGAAATGCTCAGTGGGCAGCTGTGATTTTTTAAAGACTTATTTACTGCAGTGTAAATGACAGTTCCATTTTCCTTTGCTACAGTCTGTTTTTTTGACAAATGTTGTTGGATGAATGCAAAGCTCAATTTGACTAATAGCTATAGAAATTCCTTTGGGTCAAAAAATGGCTACAGAACAGATCATTGGTGAAGTAGTTCCCTACCTTCAGTCCTCATTCGTGCAAGGACTCAGCTCAAAGTCACCTCTTGTGCATCACCAGTATGGTGTGATGTGAGCTGTGTGAACAGAAAAAAGGGGGTTTCATTTCAGGAGAAAACAGCGTTGCTTTGATAGTTCATTCACTGGAATAAATATTGATAGTTTTTAAAAAAGAAAATAATGAAATTGTCATTTTAATTAATCAAGCAATTCTATTCATGTATAAAGGCATACATAATGCATGAACATACTAGCCAGTATGCATTAGTCTATCAATGCAAACGAGCTTCAGAACAATCCATCAAACTGACGTATTTCACGGAAAAAAAAAGGAAATTAAATCTCTAATTTAATAAATGGAAAACGTAAATGTGCCAATTATATATGGTGTCATCGCTTTTTATTATTGGCAACAGACTAAAATACTTTATTCTGCATGGTTATTTACTGAACGTAGTGATACTGTATGTTTCATACTTGTAGTTCTTTGCAGAAATAGAGTCCGAACTTGTCACTTATGAAATTTCCAAGTCTGTGTATTTATGGGCAGGAGATATTACTGTTAAGAATAGATGTGGGATGTACGTCACTGTTTCCCAGGAGAAGCCATTTAAAACTGAATTATAGAAAATGAGGAGCCCTCTGTGATGCAGGTGTTTCAGTAAAAAAAGCAATACCACTGATGGTTCTGAAAAAGAGTGGTTAAGTTATTCCACAGTGTTGCATACAATCTTATTGACTAAAGAGATTAAAATTCAAAGCTTACAATAAAGTACTTAGTTATGTTTAACAGTGCAGGGTAGTAGTTACTTATGTCTCTATAGCTACAATAGTTTAATTAAATACCAATGCAGGTTTATTTCTTCAAAATCTGAGATGCATTTTCTGGAAGATAATCTTTAAGTGCTAAACAGTGGGAATCAACTTTGTTCCAGATATAAGAAGAGTGACCAACATGATAAAATATTTTGAACAAATAATGTAATGAATTGACACTCTTCCATAATCTTAAAAGAAATTAATTGGTATGACAGTTTTGTAACTGGTTTAAAAATGCATATAGTAATGGCCCAGATTCTAGAGTGAAATCTTTATTAAAATGCATCAACCTGCAATAGCTACATGGTATCATGGCAAATGTTTTAATCTGGGGTGAGTCATACACATTTCAAAACTGTGCCACAGTTCTTAATATCTTTTCAAAATCTAGAACCTTTTCCCCCATTTTACATTGTTTGAACTATACAAGTATTGGAAGCAGAAATGTATTAAAACATATTCTTTGTAGAAGATTTAGAAATTAAGGCTTTGATGAGGAACAAAGTCTAGATAATGCAATGAGATTAAAAGACCCCAGTAATGTCAGTTTTGAAGCTTTCCCCACCCATACGGATATCGCTGATATCTAACAGCAAAGTTATCTGGCATTAGTGGTCAATGGGCTATAGTGCCAAAGAAATGTACTGTAAATCATAATGCTTCATAATGGAGTCATTCTGAAATATATAAAATACTGTATAGCTTTATACTTTGTTTTTAGTTTGCAGAATATATTATTTAAATTTCTTAGTAAACACCTTTCTGTCTGGAGTCACTACTAGTTTATGCTATTTAAGGATATTTGCTTATTTATAAATCCTACAGAATTACAACTGATAGCATAACCACACATAGGATGTAAAAGCATACATTGGAAATTTACATTTAAGTATTAGTATGTAAATAATTGCTGTATCATTACTTTTTTGACCATTAAGGACTTTACTTTTTAAACACTATGACTTATTTCTTTGACTACTTGTTTCTACTCATCAAGCATGTTCAGAAAATACTTTTATTTTTTTTATCTTTATCAAGATTGCCTGCCTTCATTTGTCCTGGAAAAAGTCCCTTTCTTTGGGTTCTTCATCGTTTTGCCATTGTAAAGACTGAAACTAAAGCTATGGGACTCAGTTATTGAAAGAATTAGCACACTTCAAGCACCTTTATCAAAGTCTAGTCTAAACTGGGTAGAAAACAAAAATATACCAGTTTCTGACTATCATGTTCCTCAGTCTAATAGTTCATTGAGATCCTTAAACAGGTAATTACTGTACAGGAAGGTGAAAGGCAGGGAAAGTGTGTTGCTCTGTTCAAATGTCAAAATATTATGAGATTTTCACTGTGAAGAAATAATAATAAATCCAGGTTTGGAGTGTTCCAGTTTTTCAATTCCAGTTCCCTCTCTTAAACCCATTTCCGATTTCAATTCATTTTTTTACATTCACAGAATCTGGATCAGGGGTTGGTGTGAGACAGGGAATTGTTACTAAAATGATCCCAAACCACTTGTTCTAATTTCTTTTAAAAAACAAAGAACTACATTTGCGCAGTGATTCTTAGTTAAAAAATGTCTGTTCTAACCTAGAAGTTCAATGTAATGAAATATTTGCTGATCATATCTTTTTTTTTCTTTTTAGATGAACAGGAAGCAGTACAGAAAAGAACTTTCACCAAATGGATCAATTCCCATTTGGCAAAGGTAAAGACCATGCAGTGCTTTGCTTCATGTAAACACAATCAAAATCTTTCATCAACTCTGTACACTGGACTGGAACCGTATTTATTTTAATTTATGTTAATGATCTATCTTAATGCTGTTCGGCCAAGGCTAGCTCTGTTGGTAGAGCATGAGACTCATAATCTCAGGGTAGTGGGGTCGTGTCCGATGTCAGGCACCAGGTCCTCCATGTTGGAGGTTGGACACAAGGATAACAACACTGTCCCATAAAAAAAACAAGGTTATGGAAGCAGCAACAGGATGTTTCTGCCTCTACATGCCGGAAGGCATAATGGGTGAACATCCATCCAGCATCCATTAATGCTGTTCACAGAAAGCTTGCGATGTCCAGCTACTATACATTGGAAAGTTTAACTTTGCTAGTTGTAGATGTTCCTACTGGCTCTCATTCTGAGCCCCTCCAATATGCAAGTTACAGGAGAGATTCCCGTATCTTTATGTGAAGATACACAGGAATGATTGCCATGAGTAAGATATATCATCCTCAATATGACATGTTCATGAGCCCACCCAGACTGCTCCCAGGATCAATCAAACTGGAGTCTACTGACCACCTGGCACAGTAACAGTGACTTCTTTAAGATAGCTTGAAAGGTCTTGTAAGGAAAATAACATAAGAAAGTTTACACACGACAGGATGTCCCTCTTCCCACATAGTTTCCTTGGTTGCTAGTTGTTAATTTATCCAGGGAGCTCATCAAGCTGTTTCTGGAATGAAACCAGCTTTCACAACATGGCTGGGTAGCTTGTTCCAGGCTTCCACAACCTTTTGGTGGTAAAGAAGTGTCTTCTCTTTTTAGTTTTAAATACACTGCTCTGTAGTTATCACTAGTGTTCATGTTTCATTGTTCATTCTGAAGATGTCCATCGATAATGTTAATGACTTTGAGGATTTTAAATAGTTAAATCAGGTTTTGTTCATTCAAGACTTAGAAGATTAATTGCTTTTAGAGTGTCAGAGTAGGACCTTCTTTTGAGTGAGAAAGGTCTTGTTTGAACTGATTCCAAAAGGAGCAATATCATTTTTTGATGCCATTCTTATTTTGAATTTTGTCTAGTTTTTTGCAGCTCCTGTAGTGTTTCCTAATCTTCCTATTAAGGTGTCATTTGCAATGTTACTAATTTACTAATCATTCCAGAATCTGTATCATTAGTCTAAAACAGTAGTCCTAATACAGATCTATGTGTTTATCAACTGATTGAGGATTGTCGTGTCCAGCTGTTTGGAAGATGAGCTGCATGAAGAAACCTCGGGAGCTTTACTTGCAGCTAGTACGGGAGCGCTTTTTTGAAATGGGAAAGCTGTTGCACTGGGGCAGTCCCATTCTCTCAACCTAAGAAGCCTGGGTCCAGTGGTAAGAGTAGTTGTCACTACTGGAGGTTGCAGTGGATGACCACAATGCCTTCACTTTCCACAGAGTGTTGCAACAGTATAGTGTCCCATCACTATACTGGGACAGTAGAACCCACACAGACCACAGGGTGAGCGCCCCCTTCTGGCCCCACTAACACCTCTTCCAGCAGCAACCTTATTTTTCCCCAGAGGTACTGACCAGGCTTAAACCTGCTTAGCTGCAGTGGGTTGCCAGTTGTGAACTGCAGGGTGATATGGCTGCTGGCAATTAACAGATTACATCACCCTAATTTGATAATTCTTCACTTATGTGTACTGTTTTCTACATATTCTAAGCCCAAGCACACACAGTACCTTGAAAGCCTGCCACTTGTAATGTAAGAATTATTTGTTTATAATGAACTTCATCTATTACCGTCTGAAAATCATAATTTACCATATCATATGCTCTTTTTATCTATTAGTGTTGTTGCTTGTTTTAAGACAAAATGAATAAACAACATTTTTCTAAATCCCTTTTGAATATCCCCTAGAATTCTATTTCAATACAGATGATCCAGATACAGGTAATGCGTTTAGTTCCAATGATCATTTACTGTTTATAACCTTATACATAATAGACATTAGACTTATTGGGCTATAGTTACTTGGTTTGACTTTGTCATCATTTTTATAGATTGGTCAATGGGTTATATTCCAGATGAATATTTTCATTTGTTTAAAAAAATGTATCTTTTCAATCATCTCTATTTTCTCAACTGAAATACAGTAGTGACAGTAGTAGGGGGACATCACAAAAAAGAACAGGTTTCAGGCTTCAAAAACAGAATGTCAGGAACAGGTGATTTTGTTACTCAGTGTTTATTGTGATGTGCTACAAAAACAAAAAGGAAAGTATCCACTTCCAAGATGTTCACTTATTGAAATGCAGCTTTGGAGTGTTTTACAGTCTATTTCATTCACAAAAGGAAGTTATCGTTGGAACTTACAGGAAATGAAAACATTGAGTGTTTGAAGGAAATCAACTGCTGACTTTAATGTTAGAGCATTAAAATCACAAACCTCTACTTCATGCCTTAACCATTTAATTGAAGAAATCAAGTAAGAAAAGCAAAAGTATTATTATAACATTCAGATCTACACTGTGAAGTTGTAAATATACTCATTGCTCAGCCTGTCATCTCAATTTTCATTTCCTCTCAGTGGTTTTTATGTTATTCTATAGTTTTGTACCAAAGACACCACTTAGCTGATTTTTTCCAATGTAATTTTCCCCAAATTTTCCAAATGCAGTCCCAGAGTAACAGTGTGCTACAGGACACACAATGTGCTCCACGCACGAGCCCATGCCCAGATCCCAGTTAGTGCCTTTGGAAGACTCAAGGAAACCAGAACACCCTACAGAAACCCTTGTGCACATGGCTTGGAGAACATGTGTCCTTCTGACAGAAGGTGCCCAGGAATAGAAATGAACCCAGGACCCAAGAGCTTTGAGGCAGTCGCTTAACCAAAATTCCACCTCCTGACTTAAGAACGTATAATTTCCAATGATGCTGTTTTCACACAATTAGAAACCCTTTTATTTTCAGCTTTTCAAAAAAACTGTTCTGAGCTAAGGTGGCATGGTGGTGCACCTTCTAGCTCTGAGGCCTTGGGTTCAATTCTCTGTGGACTTTGTATGTTCTCTTTGTATGGATGGGTTTCCTTTGGATTTTCTGGTTTCCTCCCACAGTCTAAAGACATACTGGTAGGTTACGTGGCTTTTGGGAAAACTGGCCCTGGTTTGTATGTCTGTGTGAGTCCTGTGATGGACTGGTGTCCCATCCAGAGCAAATCCTGCCTTGTGTCTGTTGCTTGCCAGGGTATGCGCTGACTCCCCTGTAGCAACCCTGTATTGGATAAAGCGGTTTGAAAATGGATGGTTTAAGCTACAGGTTTAACAGAAGATTCAGTCTGCATGTACTGATTCTTTTTGCTATGGAGTTTGCAGATACATGAATTGTAAATCATTGTAAATCACACATACAGTACATCATGCACAGAATATTTAGTCATGGTCAAAATTATAGGGAAACCTTCAGCATATTGAATGTTGGCTTATAATCAGTTACAACTAGCAAAAAAAAGTTTTTTATCCACTCCAAAACGAGTAATAATTAATATTTTTATGCTTTTATAATCACTTGTGATTATATTGCTAAGGAGATTATCCTTTTCTTTAACCATTCATTTGGTATGAGAATCATTTTGTGGTGCATAGATCAGCTCAAATAGTAGCTTCATACTACTGTAGCTGCAAGTAAAGCTCTTGGCCCTAAAAAAAGCAAATGAGGCTGAAAAAGAGCAAATCTGTGCAGATGGAGAACAGAAGGGGAAGGAACAATTCTCTGCGTGAACAGAGCTAAACAAGAGTATTGACGCACTGCTCAGAAAGCATGTTTGCAGGAATGGCTTTGAGAGAGATGCTGTACTCAAGACTTTTGGGAGCACCTTTTAATATTTGAGGTTTGTTGTACTGTATTAACTGAGATGTGCAAAAATATGACTATATATGACAGATGCAAGAGAGTTTTCCATGGGATTATAAGGAGCTAAGTCTGCAATAAATGGCCATTGTACACACAGTAAACACCATGTTAGGTATCTCAGTGTTAACATACTGTAAACATATCTAAATGCAAGACATGTCTGCAGTAATGAAAATGTAATAAAATGTTGAGATTTTTTAGGTCAGGGATGTTAAAAAGTGAATAAAAGGTTACTTATTTTGCTACCAGAATTTAAAGGTCTTTTTCTAATTTTTTCATAAAATTGTTCAGTAATTGTTTAGTTTGTTTAGCAGTCATGGAACACTTAATGTTGGTTTGGCTTGAATTAGGATTTTCCTCTTCAAGACAGCTAGAACATTAATTTACAGTATGTTGTTAGGCATCTGTTTTCCACTCTTCAAAGAAAGTTATTTTCTGAACGCCTTTTTAAAGTAGCAGTATAAATACCAAAAAGATATCATAGCAAAGAAAAATGTATTTTTCACAATTAAATATACTGCTAATATATAGTGTATTTCTGTACTATACACTGTAGAAATGTGAACCACTATTTTTACACACAAAATAAATTCAGCTAATTGTCTGACTTGTCTAAGTACTTGTTTGCACCTGGACTTATTTAGATTAGGCACAGTAAAGAGTGTGCAAATACTGATCCCAACAAACAAAGTTTTTTTTTCCTTGTAGCTTTTGATAACATTTAACTTCTTTCACCCATGAACATGTTCAGTTTGAGCTTTTAAAGAATTGATTAATAGTATTCACTTTAAAAAATCTATGTACATCATTAGTACAGTAAATCACTAAAACAGAACATCATTAGAGGAATACTTTTGTTAGGTACTGTGTATACTGCATACATTTAATGCCCCCAACCTTATTAGTAAAATATTAGTCAGAATGCTGTTTTAAATTAATGATATTTAATACAGAGTTTTTCTTAAATTACTGTTTGGAAGAAAAATATACTAAAATGGAAATGCTATTTTCTTTATTCTTTCTCATGAATTCAGAATGCAAAACATCCATAAACTGCTAGTGACAAATTGTGCTTGGAATTAAATATCTAAAGGTAAGATCTCAACCCTCAACTGGTTGGTCCTATAAAGATGTTTGCTTTGTGAAGAAGGATCTAGTGCTTGCATTAGGCATTGCTTTATTTCCCAAGATCAAAGATGCATTGCACACGGGCCTTGTGACCAGTCTCATTACTTTGGATGCCAAATGGAGGAAAAGTGCAGCACTAAATGAAGTTCTTGTGCTTAAAAGCCTTTCTTGTTACTCGTTTCAGAATAAAATGAACTAAGTCAGCTCTACTTCTTTAGGCAACATCAAATAATTTACTTTGGAATTTCAAATATGTTGTTGTAATTACTGAGATCCTTTTGGCTTGGACTCAAGAGTAAAAATAGTTTAGCGTAACATCTAGTTAAGTGTGCTGGGAACTAGTGTTTTCACAGTTTCTAGTACTTGCTTCATATTCGTTGCATTACATTTCAGTATGTGCTCTGTGTACATGCCTCACATTTGCAACTGTATACCTGTCTGGGACATTGACATCTGGGACAGAGTGTTTTCTGTTTTCCTTATGCTTTGTTATTTCTTACAAAAAAGCATGCGGTCAAGGAATGTACTTTTTTTTAATCTTTTTATATTTGTATCTCCTTTTCCACTAAGAACAAACTGTACAAAATATTACACCCACCAAAAGTGTGACAAGTAGAAGCTTTCTGAAAACAATTTATTGAACACAATTTATTGTTTAGATATTTGTTTTGCTGTAGAATAATTCGATTACTGTTTATTAGAAGGTAATTATTCCCTTCTCTTCCTCAGCTAATTGCGCAACTGCTTATCATGCTATTTTTCAGACAATGTTAGTCAAAAGAAATTGATAATTTTGGTTTGTGATCAAAAATAAGGTCAAAATAAATAGTTTACTTTTCATGTTAATAATGATTAAAAGTTCTCCTCTTCTGTTAATCATTAATATTTAAGCCTTTTTTAATTATGTGGTGTTTATACATTGTTCTGTTTGTCTAGAAGGATCTAGATTTTTATAAAAAATATAAATAAATAATATTGCCTAATGTAACTAGAAACATTTTGCCTTGTTAGATTGGCAGTTTACATTTCTACAAATACGTATTGTTAGTATTTTATAATTTGAAACTTTTAGAGAGGCAGTGGAATTCCTCTATTATTTATTTTGATTGTAATGTACTTTTTAATCCACTATTGATTCAAAGTACTGCTTTGGTTTTAAAGAGATTAATTGTGGATCATTTTTGCAGTCATGGAGGTTAACAGTCTGATTATTTTTATTAGAGCCTGACAGCATTGATGGTGCAAGGCAGAAAATTCAATTGAAGGCAAACTCCGGAAGAAATAACTCTTGACATGATTGTAAATAGGCATAATAAACTAAATAGATATCACAGAATACTGTATATCAATTTTTTTCTAGTAAAACAGAGCCAATAATTTAATATAAACAGTTTAAATTTCTAATATATAATTAGAAATACAAAAAGCTCTTAGACAAAAAGCTTTTTACATTTAGTTTTAAATGTAAAGAAAAAATAATAATGTAGTACTGTACTTCTGGCCAGTAACCATAAGCATTGTTTATTTCAGTGGTTTTTGTTATTTTATAAAGATTAATAAAGGCTGCTTGTTGATAACAAAACTCACTCTAGATGTGAGTTCCAAGTCAAATTACTTTTTTACACAAGAGCGTTAGCCTTTGATCCTGAAAAGAATTTTAATCCTGCAATTCTGAGGGTAAGACATGAAGAGCTTGCAAAGAACTTGCCTTTCGTTACATCACTAACTCCACAAAGTGGCTGAGGACATGTGTTGGTAGAGGAGTGCTGGTCAGAAGTGAAACTGAGCTGTTTTTTCTTAACTGATCTACTGAAGGTTAAACTGAACTTCCCTGGTTCTTTATACAGTAGAAACTCAGAACTTCTTGAGAATAGGATGTTCTAATCCATTATTATAATCTTTATAAGGTCTCTGTGATTGTCAGATGAAGTTAAAGACTGTGCTATACTTATTATATATCTTAGGAGGACAATTGAAGGTAATTAATGACTGTAGCTGAGGTTTTATCTGACAGTTCCTCTCATTATCACATTGTCTCTAATGCAGGAATCTTTATTTATGGATTAATTGAATAGTTTATGGATGTTTGTCTCTTGTGCAACATCCTTCACAGGCAGCCTTTTTGTTCATAAAAATTTAACACCCTTTTACTTTTTAATAGGTATACTGTATTTATATATTTTTTAAATGATAAAGGAACCTACAGTACTATAAAGTATTTTACAGTATATAAAGTACTATACAGTATTTTGCAGTTTCATGTTGCAAACTCATGAATGTCAGATTTAAATTTAGTTATTTTACAGATTACAGATTGAAGAGGAGAGAATTGCTATTTTCTGTACAATTTCACAATTTACAGATTTCAATATGAATACAGTATTTTTCTCAGAATCAGAATTGCTAAGCGACAGTAAAGAATTAATGGGAGATGAAAGATTCATTAATTTAATTGTTGCGTTTTCAGCACATCTAGGGGATGAAAGGATTAATGGAGTTTCTGCTACAGATGCTAGTATAGTAAATCTTTTATAAATAGTCCACAAAAATTACTATTACTGATGATTTTTTTTTACATTATTTTGTTTAGTAGAGATTGGTGATAATATGCCAGATAATTTACACTGGCTGAATCGAGGCTGCAAAGGTTCATTTTGTTTTCTTTTCTGTCGTCAGTTGCTTGTATGTATCTTGGCTTCTGCTCTTTAGCAACAGAAACTGCAAAAGCAGATTATGTGTAGGTTCTCCTGAGATTCTTCACATGTGGCTTATTAATTACACAGCTCTTGTTGGGGTATTTCAGGCTATGTGTTTTACAATAATTGTTATCTGTAGGGCAAACTTTTTGTTAAAAGAGTCTAATGCATTGCGATCCTGGAGCACTTGAGACCAGCTTAGAGATACGTTACTCTCAGAATAAAATTCAGCAATGATAGAAAATGTTGCTGTTTCAAATGCTGTACTCAGCAGTGGCAATCTGCTCCATTATAATTGTTTCCTGCCTCTTAGTTTGCAGGCTGTGCTTCAATTGATTTATTACCTTTATGCAGGGAGAACCTTCTTTAACCACGAATCTTCATTACATGTGGCCCAGAGAGTTATTGATCTGTAGGCAGGAAGTTTATACTGAATCATTAAATGTCCCAGGAACATGAACATGTTTAAGGGAACCTGTTATTAATTTTAGACGTGGAAAAAGAACGATGGTTTGCTTCAAATTCAAATTTCAGATTTGAATGGTAAACTGAATGGTATGAGAACAAATTGCTTTTGTTTGTGGGAACGTTTTTCCGATTATAATGGGCACAGAAGTATTCTTTGTGTCATATTTCATTTTACCAGCAAGTTATTCAATAAGTATGAAAAAGTGAATTTTCCAGTTGGCTTATCTTCTAGGGGAGGATCTAAAGTATATTTTCCAAATTAGCATTAGTTTGCACAGTTCCACAGAAGGGCTTAAATAGCACTTAGAACCCTGCCAGATATATCTGGATAGCAGTTTTAAACTGTTTTTCACATATTTGTTTCTTGGTGCCATGACAGATTTGTAAAAAGCTGTGGGAAAACTTAACATACTGTATTATTCCAAAGAGAGCATACTTGAAATACTACCTTTTATCAGGCGAGCATTGATGTGACATTTTTTGCAGGACACAAACTGAATTTGTCATGTTTTGTTTTCAAAATCACTTGAGGGAAGAAGCTGTCAAGTCTGACAGCCTTGTAGATTTTACAATAAAGGATTTAAAGATGAGAATCATTGAACCTGGAAGATGAGCGAATTGTTTCATTTTGATGTATGCTTGGATGAACAAATGATTTTCTAACATTCTTGAGATGATACAGTATGAACAATGTGCTCTTTTTTTGAATGTCCCTGGGCCTAAACATTTACATAGTTATTATCTACAGCTTTAAGTGCCCTCAATAGTACACATCGTAAGCCACTGACTCAATGGGACATTCTAGCCTCCAAAATGAGCAAATAAACAATAACTAAACTATTAATTCATTTTTTAAACCTTTAGGCTACTGGTGAATTGAGTGTTTTGGAAGTTTTATTTTTGTGTGTGTATTTAAATTTTTGTTGGGACATATGTAGCTGGTTTTAATCAATCAAAAAATTGAAGCTTCATCTGGATGTTGCTTTTTATACTTATTCATTATTTAGCTTCAATACTGTCTTATCAGGACTCCCCCTGTGTTCCTGATGCATGTCTTCTAGAGAAAAACAGAAATAAAACTTTAAAACCTTGTTAAAATTTTACTTTGCTTGAACCATAACTGTTGATTTTACAGTAATAGACAACTTCAGCTTATGAATTAAATCTCTTCTTCACAATGACTATAGCATTGTTTCTAATGTCATTGATTATGGAGAGCAAACTTAAACAAATAGTAAATGTTGAAAAATTGTTTGCAAACAAAACTTTAATGCCCTTTTTCTTCAAGTAAGACTTTTCTTTTTTTTTCTTCAACCTTTTTGGAATCCTAAAGCAATCATAAAATTCAATGTACAGCACAAGGTAGAAGGTTGTTCAGTTTATTCCAAGAATGTTGTACTGTATAGTAGTCGGTCAGATTTTAATTGTTAATAACATGGATTAAATATTCATTTAATTCTGACATCTGTGTTAACAGTTTCTCTCTGTGCTCTTTTAAATGCCTGGTTTACACAACTGCATGTATGGACATAAAGCCATCTTCAAAATCTGCAGTAGCTTTTCAGCACCAATTCAATGTACTCTTCAGCACCAACCAGTTGAGTTTACAGAGTGGCCGTGTAAAGGTTTAATGAGATTAAGAGTTCATTAAGTTAATTAAGTAAGTTTTAAGTATTGAAAAGGACACCAGTAGAAACAGGGGTCAGCTCAACAGGCCTTTTCATTTTCTTTCATTCACAGCGGAACCCACCAATGGTAGTGAATGACCTGTTTGAAGACATTAAAGATGGGGTGATGCTTCTTGCCCTGCTTGAGGTTCTGTCTGGGCAGAAACTAGTAAGTCCTCCTCACAGATGTCTGTGCTTGCAATTCGCTCAAACAAAGTGATCAAAGTTACTCGGCATTTTTGTTATGGGTTTCCATGCAGGTCTTCACTTGACTCCTGTCAGAGATGGGTGTGGTGTTGTACAGCACTGCTAAACCAAGAAAAAATGGAAAGTGCGAATAAATAAGAATTTAATGTCTAATTATCTACTTTTTTCATGGTTTTTGTAATTATGGGTAACACTTCTGTGAATAAATACAGATATAAAGACAAGGTGTCACAGTTAGACAATCACAAAGTTATTTGTGATTTTTGTTGTTGAGATATCTTGATAATAAAGCAATTACATTGGTCACTTAATATAATAATCTGTGTCTTCCTTCTGTTAGTTGCAGATTTAAAAATAACATCTCTCTGTGGATTATTATCAGGCTGGAAGCTTCATACAGTCTGCCCACAGGATGAATTGTTGCTATTAACAATTAGTTTTCTTTGTTATCTTTAGAGTCAGAAAAGAGTCTTCTGTATGTTTTTCCAGTGTTTTTATTGTCTTGTCTAATTCCTTTCTTTAGCACAAATGGTACTGTAGCTTTGTGAATTTGTGAACTCTGACCCAGCTTCTTTTAATATCTTGGGTGCAGTAATTTCAAAAGTTACTAATTGCTAATTAATTGTCATGAAAGGTGTTCCTTTTTACCTCAGCCATTAAAAATATGTGATTGTCAAATTTCAGCATGTCAATAGTTTAGCTGATTCAGCAAATAGAATTTCTCAGATTATGTCGTCATTTTGAATTTAACATGAATAGTTTTTCAGATGACACATTTCTATGTTCAGCTTTATAATGGAAAATTAAATAGGGTTACTGGAAATTGCATGAATTGTACTATATTGACTATAGTCAGAACTTACCTATATGTATGGGTGTATACCTGTATATTTGTATGCTGTTCCTATACTCACTGTTAGAATCTTTTCTGTAACATGTATGCTTTAAAAATGGCACTAATATAAAAAAGGCAAAAGCATCTTTACCATAGACTGCTATTTGCGATCTCTCGATGGCTCAGAGGTTTGAACACATAGCTAGCAGCATTCATGTTTTCTGTGGTGATACTTAGGGGTCCACCCTCAAACGAGTCCCATGTGACCAATCCTAGGTATAGAGAGAAATCAGAAACCCCATAGCCAACAGGGATCCTTAATGGCATCATAGCTCCTATCAGCACTGCTGGGAATTTATTGATCTTACTTTATTAAAGCACACTCCTCATTACACTGTCAATTTGATTTGTCTTTCTTTTCTTAGCCCTGCGAGCAAGGTCGGCAGCTGAAGAGAATCCACTGGGTTTCCAACATAGGCACTGCTCTCAAGTTCCTGGAGGGCAGGAGGGTAAGGCAGCTCCCTGTGTACTTTTCTCAGATGGAATGAGATCTTCTGAGAGTAGAGGAGCTAATTGTGTGGAACCCTGCATTGTAGTCTGTCCTCCTCTCTCACCAAATGCTCTTACTTACCCCTTTGTTCATCATATGATGCCTGTCTGGTAAAAGAAAGGTAGTTCAAAGCCTTGGCGAATGTGTTTTGAAACCACTGGCTTTGATCTGAAGCTAAATTAACTACAATATAGGTATGTTATCCGTCTGAGTGTTCACAGAAATTAGCAAAAATTAAATGTGTCCTTAGGAGGTATAGTTAACACAAATCCTCATACTGTATAACAGGGCTGTCTAATTCTGGTCCTGTACCTTTTTTGGCCTTTTTAAAGACGAAGCACCTGGAGAGCCAGGTAGTTGTCGACTCGTACCAATGATTTCAGTAACAAGGTAAATCAAGTTGTACTGAATCAAATAATGTTGAAATGAAAACAATCCAGACAATCCACTACTTCAGTGCCATGAGTGGATAGCTCTGTGATATATTGTCGACACTGATATTATGACACAATAACACTGTGCTCACAGCCTTGTCATTCATTCCTCTGTGAACCATCTGCTGAAATGAGAGAATTTGATGTTATAAATTTACAGCGGAATTAGTTTTGAATGAATGTAGATGGACTTAAGAGTACTGAAAGTGGGATTCTGTGGATTTAGTATTTGAAATGGAAATCATCAAAAGTTCTAAACCATCAAAAAGACAATAGATGAGCAGGCTTGGAATATTTGTTTTACGAAGCAGTGCTCTGAATGGTGTACATGATGAGTTGTTTTGACAGAGCTGGCTTGAACAGGGAAACTATTGAACTCACAGTGGTTGAGAGTTTATCTTTCCTGTGAGCACACAAGTGCAGGAAGACTTCTGTTCCCTTAGCATCTCATGAGTATTGCTTTAGCCAAACCCTGCAGGAACCATCCAAGTTTAATTTCACAGCCTTTGTAGCAAGCAAGCCTTCTAATTATAATCTTGTGTATAGTGGGTTTGTAATGCAGAAACTGATATTTTAAAACTAGAAAACATATTTAATAATCTTTATTTAATATTTATAAATATACATCACCAATATATACATAGCTTTCCCATAGTTTTTCAACTGTTTCAAAGTTTCACTGAAACACGAAGAAATAATATTTTCAATATATACAGTACATAGTTTTCCCTATCAGTTTAAAAGTTCTTCCAAAAAAAAGGTAATATTAATGTGAAGATAAATGAAAATGGAATATACAATGAAACAAAAAACTATACAATTAAATATATATGCAAGATACAATTAAAAATGCAACAAAAGTATTGAAATAATGATCTTTTATATTTGGAACTTAAGTCACATTCAATTGCATTTTATATAAAACTTCAAAGTTTCATTGAAACTTGAAGGAATAATATTTTCTAGTTTTCTTCAGCCTCACAGCTTTTAATGCCATCTGTGATATAGGGAAGCCTATTGAAACTCTTCAGCTTAGCTCTAATTTAGCAATTTAACCTTGCCTGTGATGTTTAGTCTCATTTAACCAGGGTCAGGAATGGTGAAGGTTTGTTATTGTTACTGTATGTGCATGTCAGTAATATTAACGAGCACTCCCAGAGAATGGAATGTTTTCCTTCACTCAGGGTTGGCAGATGACTAATACTAACTGCAATCTCTCTTTTGCCATGCCGACTAAAGTCTGTTTACAGAGGATCTCCGGTTAGTATCCTAGATCAACTACTCAACTGGTTATTTATATATTTATCAGCAGTTGCTTAATTATTACATCCATAAATATTTTTAAAAACAAATTTCTCCATGTTTCAATGTCATATTCCCTCATATTGAGGGCTTATTGTTCTCAGTAACATACTATATACTGTAAATCTTACCTTCATTTAATAATGAGAGCATCTCCATACTGTTAAGATGTTACAGCTCACAGTGAGATATCCATTGACTATATTTCATAAAGCATGCTTTGTACAGCTCTGAAACTAACACTCTGAATCTCTGGAATTACACAATCTCTAGACAGTGGTTCAAGCTGCCATCTCCTCAACTCTCCATATCCATATCTCTGATTTTGACCATAATGCAATTGCTGTGTTGAAGAGTCTTTTCCCGCTTAGATGAAAACATGACTTTTATTAGTCAACTCTAAAACAAGTGATATAATTGAACTATGAAGACTGAAGTTAAACTTTCTTCTATGTTTCAGATCAAGCTGGTCAACATTAACGCAACTGACATTGTCGATGGAAGGCCATCCATTGTGCTTGGATTGATGTGGACCATCATTCTCTATTTCCAGGTAATGCGTAATCATTGTTGAGATAAAGGTCTTTTAAACTTGGAACATAATTTATTTTTGGTACTTTCTCCATTCTCACATGCAGTGGTTTTCCCAATTTAGATATTTCAAGTTTAAATGGTGTTGTGCCATTTGTTTTTTTATGCATTTCTAGATCAGCCTTATCAGTTTAGGTATTCTAAAACTGAGCTGTTGTTATGTGTAGCTCTGTTTTGGGTTTGCTGAGTTTTAAAAATACCTTGACCTTCTTCCTTATCTTTTATGGGGTACAAGGTATACAGGTGTTTGGGTGCTATGTGAGTCCAAGTCTGAAAGGATGGACAGGACACATTATATTCCTATAGCTGTAGCCACCTGTTCTAGTTCATGCAAAGCTGGGAAGTCTATTTTGTCATAACAGCATCTTTTCTGTCTTTCACAGATAGAGGAGCTGACCAGCAATTTGACCTTACTGCAGTCCCTGTCCAGTAGCACCTCATCAGTGGAAAGCCTGGCCAGCTCTGAGACTGCTAGCCCGCCCATGAAAAGGAAGGTTGTTACCAAATTCCAAGGCAATGCCAAGAAGGCCCTTTTGAAATGGGTGCAGTACACAGCAGCAAAGTAAGACTCAACTCAATGTTGGTTTTTGGTGGAAAAAAAATTAATAGGTGGATAACTTTTTAAAACTTGTAGTTTTTTGAAAGTTGTTAACAGAAATACATGAACTTCAAGGTGGTGTTTTTATTTTATATAGTTCATATTGTTTATATATGACACACGTTTATCTTGGTTTTAGTTGCAAATTGTGTGAGTAGATCACTTTATTAAAACTGTAAAAACTGATTTAGGCAAAATAATTTTAAAAAGTTATCAAAATGATTGATGTAACCTCCAAGTGTTTAAACACAATTTTCCTACTTATCATTAGCTTAAATACATGAACTATCTTATAATTAAGTAACTCATACTTGATTCCCATATTATTGCTTGAACAGAACAATTATCTGTTAAAGGGAGAAGTTCTGTCTTAACCTCTGTATTTTTATGCGTTTCAGGCCTATTAGTTCATTGTTTCTGATAAACTGACAATTATACTACACAGGATATACTGTACTGTACAGTATATCAAGTTAAATTCTAGAAAAAGTGAGGATCTCGACCAATGAGTTATTAGGGTATGTTCCCTCCTGCTCTGAACTCTTGGTCTGTACTTTGTATTTGAAGGCGTTTGGGAGTTGAAGTGAAGGACTTTGGGAGGAGCTGGCGCAGTGGAGCTGCCTTCTATTCGGTCATCTCTGCCATTCGCCCTGACCTGGTAGACATGGACAGAGTGAGTAGGAGAACCAACAGGGAGAATCTGGAGGAAGCCTTTGCCATCGCTGAGAATGAACTGGGTATCCCTCGCCTTCTTGATCCGGAAGGTATGTCCTAACGTCATGTTCAATGCAGTGGTCTTATTTGTAGTGGTGACAGGAAAATGGATTAGAGTGGGCTGCTTGTGGTTAAGGACACATGGAAAAGTAAAAATAAAGAAGAAAAAACACAAAGTTTGGGCTGGTGAGCCACTTTGAAGAGACCTCCTTCCATGTCTGTATTTCCTGTATGGCATTACTCTTTTCAAAGAGTCCCTCCCTAGAGTCCTTTTAAAAAAAAAACATTTTTGTTCTCACTCTCAAGAATCACTCCTAACATCAGGGCTATCTGGACTGTAAAACTGCCATTTTATAATTACTGTTACGTCCCAGTGTGTGGTCTGTGTGTTTTTGTTATAACAGTATGTCCCACACTGCTGACCTTTGATCGTTCTCCCTCCCCCATTGGCCCACCATTACACCACTGTTCCGTATGACATCATCATTAATCAGCCTCTCAGCCAATCAGACTGCATCTTATTCAGTATATAACATGGAGGTTTTCAGGAAGGGAGGCCTTTCGTTTCACTTCAGTCCTGTTTGTTTTTTTTTTGCTTTGCTTCATTTAGCTTTGGTTATCGCTTCGTTTTGCCTTTTCTTCGGCTTTGTTGGTTTGGTTTGTTTTGTTGTGCGTGTGTTTTTTTGTATAGCTTTGGCTTTGTTGTTTTGTTGGTTTCTGTTAGTTTCTTTGTACTTTCGTTTGTTTGTGTTTATCCTTGTTTTGCCATTCCCTTGCCCTAACGTGTTACATTACTTGTTCAACCTTTGTGTTCTTTTGTACCCTGTTCCTGTTGATTACTCTCATTTTCCCTTATTTGTATTCCTAGTTCACTTGTGTTTTTGTGTGAACTTTTGTGTATAAGGTTAGTTTAAGTGTGTAAAATGTACCCAACAACCTAGTTGATTTTGTATTAGTCACACTAGTTTAGTATGGGTGAGTGCAGTTTGTCTTGGGTTTTGGGTAGACAGTGGAGGTTAGCTAGGGTGTTGAAGACACTGAAGACCATGTGTTTTGGGTTTTCTTTTGTAGTCGGGTTAGCTTTCCCTCACTTTCCTAGCCAGCTCCATTTCGTTTGTTATTTTCTTTTCTTTGGCACCACTCTAGTCCCTTACACTGTGTGTTATCATGTCTTACCAGTCACTTATTCAACTTAAAATCATCACTTTTGCACCCACCTTTGTTATCACGCTTCCTAGTCCCTCACCAGAACCCACCTGCTTCCAAAAGAATTATCCTAAATGTTACACCCCTTTACCCCTAGACACTGGGGGTTGTAACAATTACGTTTAAGACTGATATCTGTAAAGGCCCAGGTTGAGCTCAGGTTAAGGCCTGTGATTGCAGGTCGGAGCCCAGGTCATGTAACTAGACAACTGTGACTGGGATTGCTCAAGCAGTGGCTCCTAATTGGATGAGCCGAGGATATGGTAGGATTAGTCTGCCAAAGCTGTCTAGATTATCAGAGACACAATAGGGCCTTTGGTCTTCCAGGCTCTTGCAGTTTTGCAGTGATGTTGGCGAAGGAAGTGCCAGGTCTCTAGTTGGTCCTGGAACCTCTGGTAAGGTGTTAAAAGTTGAACGGCTCAAAGGTGGTTGGCTCTCAGGAGAATACATGTCCTCATTCTTCCCTGTGTGCAGTTGCAGGCTTGTAGCTGTGAGTCAAGATGTGAAAAACATTCAACTAGCTATTCCATATTGGCTGGGTATGAAATAAGGAATTGGTTATTATAAGCTCATATATAAAAGATGATTCCTAAGATTTTAGTCTTTAATGGTATATATAAGTTAAAGTGAGATATCCAATGGAAATATACTGAGAAGGCACTGTATTTTATTTTTAATGTGGCACAGATATTTTCCTATGTGTGTTCTGATTTCTACAGTATATGAGCTCATGATCCTTCCTCATGAGCTAGAAATGGTTTGTGCTTTGTAATCAACCCATTGATGATGCCAGAAATATAGAAATACAGCTGTGAGCAACAAATACTGCTTTAATGTTCTTTGCAGATGTTGATGTTGACAAGCCAGACGAGAAGTCCATCATGACATATGTTGCTCAGTTCTTAAAACACTACCCAGATCCCCACAACACTGAAACTGATGGGCAAGAGGAAGAGGTAATTTCTTTTACAGCTCTAATCTATTACTGTGCCAAAACAAGCAAAAAACATGCAGCCAAATTGAAATGAAAGCTTAAAATATTCTTAAATGGGTTTATAGATATACGTTTAAGATGGTAGTTCAGTTAGACAACAACATACTGTACCAGACGTCCTTGGAGATTACAAAGCTTTACTTGACATCACAGTAATTGGTGAGAATTACTATAAAATCCCTGAATTCATATTATAAAGTATTACAAAGTAGAATAAAATGTAAACGTGACTTTGAACAATTCTTTACTTATTAATATGTTTTACTTAATGTACTTTGAAGCCCTTTAGTTATTTAGAAGAAAGATTTAGGATTTGACCAGAATTCCCTTCCGTGAACAGTGCATGGCATCATAAAAACAAGCTGATGGGATAGCTCAGCTGCAAGCACTTTTTGAATATTGTGAAATGGACTCGTTGCATGTTGAATTATTTTGTGCTAAAGCTTAATAATGTTTGTATATACACTTGGTAAAAATATGAAAGCATGGGAGAAACGTGCCGTCATTACATTTTCCACAACTCATTATCATTGACAATTCATCCATTTTGACTTAGTTTTCAGACCTTAAATGAAATGTATGTCCTTATCTTTTTCACCCAAGTAATATGAATTAATTAACCTTAAATTATAGGATATTAAATAATGTTTTTGTTATAGAATAGACATTTGAAACTGTTTTTTATTTTTTGTTTTTAATATTAATATTGTATCTTAAATATGCACATGTATAGCAGTACTAATCATACACTAAACAACCAGGCACTACTTGTGTAGTAAATAATACACAGAAGATTATATATATTAGCACTGTATACATATTTCTAATTGAAATATTTATTTTGAAACACAATTACATTACAATATATAATGAGGGTGTGAATGGATGATGTATAATTATTTAAGTGTCTTATGCAATAAAATACATACTTCAGAATTTTTGCACCTAGAGTAACTTAACATATAAAACCACATTCAAAAGAGAGGAGGTCATTTAGTGCATCTATCCTGTTAGGTTGCTAGTTGCTAGTCATCCTTCTGTTTCTTGAAAGAAGCCAGGATCCCAATAAGGATGGATACCTTTCTTCAGACTGCCTCACCCTTACTGTAATAAAATTACCCCTGTTCTCAGTTATAAATGCACTAGCTGTACCCACAGACATTCACACTATATGGAGAATGCTAGCTAACATGCCACGTGCAGTATATTGTGCAGGTCGTTTTGCTCTATACAGCTGCTACTGTTTTATGTGAGTGACATACAGACCTTACATAATCACAGCTTCATCCAGTGCAGTTGGTTAAAAAAACAAAAAGGCTGAAATACCTTAAAACCAAAACAATTAAATAGTGTAGGATCACCCACTCTCTTCGCTTGTTTTGTTTACAACGTTAGAATGTTTGTCATCGGAGCGCGGCATCCCTCAGTGTGGTTTTCTGTAGCTCTGTAGCTGAATCCATTTTCCACCTGTTTCTCCCACCATTTGCCTTGAATCATCCACATTCTTTTTTTGTTTCGGCTGTACGTCATCTGTTTTTGTGCGCCGGTAGGAGCTTCTGCGTTCCATTCCAACTTTCGCACTCTCTATCCCCAAGCTTCAGGTAAGGCCTGAGCACTCCAGGGGTCCTGCGCTCTGTATACCCGGCCTGGCCTGCAGTGGTGTTGTGTGTCTGCAGTGGCCTTTTGTCGTTTTCCTCTCTGCATGTCTGTCTGTCCACTAACGGGCTGTCTATGTTGTGTTTGCACCTTTCTTTGTGTCTTGCTCTCCTTGCCAGTTTGGTCTTGGTCCACGACACATAGAGCAAATGCTAGAGGTATGTGGAACCGGAGGTAAACAACAACGAGGCGTTTAATGGCTCTTTCTTATTTATTCAGACTTCCTTGCCTTCAGGCGACCTGATGTGAGGCCTTTAAACTGATGGCACAATATGAAAAACAAAAATTCCTTTCTTTTAGGTGAACTGTCGTTGGATCAAATAATACTGCTTGTCTGCGTCTACTAGTGATTTTCATTTTCCCTCAAAGTGCACTACAGCGTTATATAGGATAGTTTGGGATTAGTTTTATTCATTAACCCGTACTTTGAATGAGAAAATCAGTAGCATTGTACCGTTGAGTCCTACGATACAGAGGATAGTATTGCTTTCACTATTTTGGGAGCAAAATAGCCAATAACAGGTACGACTCTTAAACCATTAGTTTTATCAATAACCAGTGTGTCATAGAATCAGGTGTTGTCCTCTCAGCAGAAATAAGCATTGGCGATTGAGGAAACAAGAAACTTGACACTAGCAGTGTTTTGCTATAAGTTGCAGTAGGTTGTGCCACTTACTGCTGTACAGTAGGTACACATGTTTTGTCAATATCGAATTTAACTTACTAGGCTTCACCTAGGTTAAACTAAAAGAATAAACTACACTACATATTTCCTCATACTGCCACTTAGGGCACAAAATGAAAAACTTAAGTAAAAATTGTAAGAATTAATATTATTGTAACGTTTACAGTTTCTTCTCAGAACAAAGGACCAGTGGAGACGCGATTAATGAACCAAGCGATAACTTTATTCTTTATCAACCACATCAAAACCAAACACAGGATATACACACACATGAGAAAACAACAGGTACACATCTTTAGGGTGGTAATTACTAAACAACAAGCTATACACTGATAAGACTACACGGGACACTAGAACTACTTTGACATTATTTACACAGGTAGGGTCAGCCGCTGGTCATCGTGCTGACCCTCAGACTCTCCACGGCTACAACTCCCAGCCTGCCCAGCGGTACCATGAGCGCCTAGGGGCGCTTCCTCCTCACCACCAGGCGAGGGCGTTACACTGCCCCCCCCTGAAGCGTCTGGCGTCCCGCCGAAGTCGAACACCCCCCTCAGGCTGTACTCGTACTCGGCTAAAGGTTGTGGAACCCTGCGTGAGCAGCCGCTGCACCGCAGTGGCGGCTGGCGACCCACAGACGCCCCACTATCTGCCGGCTCTGGCCCCGGCTGCTCCTCTGGAGCCTCCCCACACGGCTCCTCCTCCCGGGCCCGGTAGGGGGCCAGGCAGTCTCGGTGCACGGCCACCACTCTCCCCGTGAAGTTTTTCACCCCGTGTTCGCAACCGGACATGGTAGCAGACCTCGCCCACCATCCTGAGGACCTCCGGGCGGCGGGCCGAAGACCAGGTCCACTGGGGTTCGCATTTCCCAGCCCAGCATGAGTGAGGCCGGGGTGCACCCGGTGGATTCCTGGACCGCGGTCCTATACGCCCAGAGCGCAAGAGGGAGGTGGCGGTCCCAGTCCCGTTGGTGCCGGGACACCAGGGTGGCCAGCTGGGTGGCGAGCGTCCGATTAAACCGCTCCACCATCCTGTCGCTCTGGGGATGCAGCAGGGTGGTCCGCGTCTTAGTGATCCCCAGGCGCTGGCACACTCTGGCGAAGACCTGGGACTCGAAGTTACACCCCTGGTCACTGTGTAACTCCTCCGGCACCCCCAGCCTGGCAAACATCCCCTCCAGTAGTGCATCGGCCACTGTGGGGGCACTGGTCCGGGAGGGCATAAGCCTCTGGCCACTTCGTAAAATAGTCCATGGCCACCGGGACGTAGTGGTTCCCGGCCTCAGTGCGCGGAAATGGGCCCAAAACGTTCACCCCCACCCGCTCCATAGTAGCCCCCACCTGGTGTTGTTGGAGGGGGGCCCGAGAGCGCTCGGGGGGGCCCTTCTGTGCCACACACACCGCACACGTTCAGCAATAACGCTCCACGTCCCGGTGGCAAAGACCCCAATAAAAATGGCCTCGGAGACGCTGCAGGGTTTTTTTGTAGCCGAAGTGCCCTACGTCCGGCTGGCCGTGCACCGCTCGGAGCACAGCCCCGCGGAGCGACTGTGGCACCACCAGCTGCCACCGTACCTTGCCACTGGAGGGTACCCGCCACCCCTGGCACAGCACCCTGTCCTTTACCTCCAAGGCCTTCCACAGGGTGCAGAGGGCCTTGACGGACTTTGGGTGCAGGGCGAGCTCCTCTCGCGTAGGCAGCGCTCCTGCTGCCCTCCAGCGGAGCACCGGCTCCATGTCAGGATCAGCTGCCTGTCGCTGCGCCAGGTCTGACAGGCCCACCCCCAGCAGCCCCTCCAGGGCCATGGCTGCAGCACTCGCTTCCGTCACGGTACGGACGGCCCAATCATGCTGCTCCCGCCGGCCGCAGTAACAGCAGTCCGCGGCCTCACATGGGCGCCGCGAGAGAGCGTCGGTATTGAGATGGCGAGACCCCGCACGGTGTATGACAGTGAAGTCGTACTTCTGCAGGATCTCTATCTGCAGGAACGCATGGTTGGTCCTCATCCGGAACCGGGTCCCGAACAGGTACAGCCTGAAGTGGTGGACCCCCGTCGTCACCACCATCACCTCCAGCAGCTCGCGACGGGTCATGCAGTAGTTCCGTTCAGCCCTAGTCAAAGCCCGACTATAGTAGGCCACTACGCGCTCCCCATCTGGCCCCTCCTACGCCAACACTGCACCCACCCCCGAGTTACTCGCGTCGGTATCTAGGACATACGGTAACTGCAGATCAGGGTAGGCCAGCACAGGGGCCCCCACCAGAGCTGATCGAGACCCTCGCAGCTTCGCTGGTAGAGGTCCTTAGCGGCGCGCCTCGCTTCCACGCAACGCTCGGCCCCCGCCGCCGCCGCCTTGTCTGGCCCCCCGGCTGACTCGGGGGCAGGATCCGGCACGCTCGCTCCCCGGCTCACAGGCCTAGTCTGCCCTGGTGGTCGCCACTGCCTCTTTTTCCCCTGGTTCCGGCAAGCCCGCGTCCCTCGGCCTTCGCCAGGCCTGCCCTCCATCAGGTGAAGTCGTTCCCCCTGCCACACCAACTCCTGCTGGCCCAAGTCCTGCAAAGTCCCCACTCGCTTCAGTGGGTCCAGCCAAAGGATGCAGTCCTTCTGGATGGGTGCGAGGTAGCAGGGGTGGCACAGCGTCGCTGAAACTAGACGGAAGGCGTATCCCCCGGACTGCAGCAAGCTGTCCCGTCACGGTCCTTAGCCACAGGCTGGAGGCCTCCCATCCTGGGGGGTTGGTGCCCTCGGTGTCGGGGAGGATGCCCGGCTGGAGTAGGGTTACCGATGAACCGGTGTCGAGCAGGACCAGGCAGGATTGGTCCTCGATTTGGCAGTGGAGGTACAGACCCTGGCTACAGCCGACTCACCCCACGGTGGCGTGAGGGGCACCGGTCTTCACAGCGCTCTCCGGAGCGGGAGTTGAGGTGTTCAAGGGCGGGCGGCCATCCCTGCGCTGAGCTGCCCCGTTCCCATTTCCTGACGCCAATCGAGGAGTGCGAGGTTCTGGTGCCCGGCAGTACCGGGCTCGGTGGCCCCGGGGAAAAGCTGGTTATCCTCGGTGGGCGAGGAACATGACATCAGTGGCAACCGGGCCCAGTTGCTCTCCTGGTCGGCGCCGCCACAGGGCCAATCTCTCCCGCATCAGGTCCGGCGCCTCCTCCGCACCGAAGCGCGCTGGAAAGCTGCTGCCAGCGCCGCTTATTCGCCTCGGTCCTCCTCCGGGACATCCAGGAGCACCTGGCAGGCCGCTCCTTCCAGCGCCACTGCCAGGTGGCCGGCCATCTCTGCCCGTCTCCAGCCATTCATCTGGGCCGCGAGCTGGAACTGTGCCTCATAGGTTTCCTAAGGCGCTTCCCCGTCGTAGCGACCGGGTCGCACCTGTGCCAATGGGTGTGGGAATCGCTGGTAGGCTCTGGCAGGGAGGGTATCTTCTCTCTGGGGCATCTGCTGGCTAGGAGTAGTGGCCAGTCGCCCCAATTCTTCCGGCAGGACCACTACTGAGTAGCCCTGGTAAGGGCTGTGGCCACCTGTCGCACCCAGGAGTTGCTCAGGCTCCGTATGTACGCTGCCGATGGGTTCTGTCTCTTTTAGAATCAGCCGGCGCTTGACAGAATAGGCTAATGTCTGCCATGATTTGTCCATCCTGCCTGCTTCTGACACCAATGTACAGTAGCGTTTACAGGTTCTTCTGTAGACGCGATTAAGAACCAAGTAATAGCTTTATTCTTTATCAACCATATCAAAATGAACCACAGGATATACACACACATGAGGAGACTGACGGAACACGTACACATCTTTAGGCTGGTAATTACTTAACAACAAGTTATACACTTATAAGACTACACAGGACACTAGAGCTACTATGACATTATTTACACAGGTAGGGTCAGCCGCTGGTCATCGTGCTGACCCTCAGACTCTCCCTGGCTACAACTCCCAGCCTGCCCAGCGGTACTATAAGCGCCTAGGGGCGCTTCCTCCTCACCACCAGGCGAGGGCGTTACATTATTATTGGACCCACTTCATTCACCATTGAACTACAGCATCCATCTGGGTGATGCATGCTAGTCGTTGTGTGACAACGGCACAATTACTCATCCGAAAATAATAATAACAATAATAAAAAGAATAAAAGTTTTTAATGTGAAAAGATAAATCTTACAGCAATGCAGATAAAAAGAAAAGAAAACAGTGTGTCATTAGGAATAGTATCAGCATGCGTTTAGCAATCTAATCTCTCTCCTGTGCAGATGCTAAAGAATTTTTGTGGGATGTTCGTGTTTATGCTCTCTTTTTTGATGTGAAAGAATTCTCCTGTTGTACATTTCTGTTAATTCGTGCAGCATGCGATAAAAAGTAAAGGTTCATAGAAAGCAAACTAATAATAATAATAATTATTAATAATTGCTTACACTTATATAGCGCTTTTCTGGACACTCCACTCAAAGCGCTTTACAGGT